TTAGTGTTGTTAGGGGTAGTGTTAGGGTAGTTAGGGTTAGTGTTAAGGGGAGTGTTAGGGTGGTCAGAGTTAGTGTTGTTAGGGTTAGTGTTAGGTTGTTAAGCTTATGTTAGGGTTAGCGTTATGGTTAATGTTAGGCTCTTTAGGGTTAGTTTTAACGTGATTAGGGTGCCCTAACCCTTTGGTTTCTGGGAACCCCTGACAGAATGTTTATTTTTATACAACATTCCACTGACCGAAATGTTGCCCATCTTTCTCTAAGTAGCCTTCATTTGAGGCACAGAAAGTGAAGATTCTTGAGCAATCTTTGCTTGGAGTGTGTGTCCTGCCACATCCCCATCCCAATCTCTGCCCTTTGAGTGGGGGAAATAGGTACAAGGGGTCCAGCACACGTCTTAATGTGTCAGGCCTGGGATGGGGCCCTGTGCCCACACAGAGGCAAGGTGTTGCCATCCTCCCCACTGGTGGGGAAACTGAGGCTGTGAGTGGGACTGTCTTGTATTACAGAGGCAGAAACTGGGGCAGGGAGGTGGAGGAAGCAGGGGCAGGTATCTTTTTCACTGTTTTTTAGTCTTTTAAGATTCCCAATTTTCGAATCATTCACTTGCTTGATTCCCGTCATTGAGTACAGGTAGAAATTAAATAATTCCTCTGGAGTCAAACACAACAGAAAATATACAGGAACACAAAGGAGGGTTAATAGCGACTGCAGCCTGGAAGGGCAGTTAGTTGTATTGTAGGGAGGGGGTGAGAAAGGGGGGTGGGAAGTATGAGCTACATGCCTGCCAACAGGCCCATCCCCCAGAACTTAGTCTTTCCTTTTCCAAACAACTGTAATAGCTAATATTTCGTGCATTTTATTCTTTCTGAATAAATAATTGCACATTTGAGGGGTGGGCCCTCATTTTCTGAATTATCTTATTTCACCCTTTTCCAAGGATTGAGCCTTTTTCAACAGGCCTTTGTGACACTCATCTTTTACAATGGAATAAGGGGCTTGGGGGGTGGGGGGGGGAGTTCTGGGAGGGGTGATCCCCTCAGGGCCATTTAAGTAATACAGGTCCAGAGAACCTGGGGCAGACCCGATGCAGAGAGGTAAGCTGCAGACCCCAAGTGTGGAATTTGTGCACAAATTGGCCGGCCCCTCGACTGATTACTTTAAGGGACCAAGAGCCCTGACCACCTGTGGGCCCACTCTGCCCTGCACCTGCAGAATTGAAGCTTATTTCTGAAATTACAATTTCCAGCCATGGTCTGATAGTTTCAGATCAATTATTTAGATGATAGAGATTAAAAGGACATGTGCTTGATTGTCCCTAATGTTCACTCTTGGGTTCAAAATTTACCTAAAGCCCTCCAGGACAAATCCATTCCCGTTCATTAAAAACAGGCTCCATTTAATTGACAATGAAAGCCATTAACCTTTGGTTTTAATGTGCCACAGAGGCAAAATCAGATCTGTTTGGGTACTAAGTACCCAGATCCTCATATAGCGAGAGAGAAGTATTTCCAGAAATAAGTTTCTTCATTCAGTTTGATATTTTGGTCTAAGTAGTAGTATGATAATTGGAAAACTTCCAGTCTTAAAACACAGATATTTTGAGAACGTGTTCAGTATTCATCTACGTATGTGAACAGGTGTGGGAGGATATCAAGTATAAAACAGCTAAAATAGAAATCTAAAATCTAATTCGGGTGTGTAATACTAAAACATAAAATTCTTCCATTGAAGCGATTACTATGTAGATGGAGATATTATACCGGGGGCTGGCAGGTCTATCATCACTTACTATCACTTAATGAATTTAACGTTGATTGTGAAATTCAGAGAGAATTCCTTAGGTGTGTCTAAACTACTCAAGAAAGGCAAAATATATGCCAATTGCTAGCGCTCTGACTGAATAAAAAAATTGGGCCTTTTAGGATATGGTGGGCCCCCTCCCCTCTTTCCATGTACAAGGCAGACTAGCTGATTAAGATTTTAAGAGTTCTCCCCCACCCCCTTTTTGGCTAAGTGGTAGGGAAGGCTAGGTCGTACTAAGTTCCATTTAGGGTTAAAGCTTATTCACCCTTGGGCTTTTGTGGGAAAAGACAGACAAAAGAAGGAAGACAGAAGACAGACTCAAGATACAGGGATTGCTGAAACATGCAGAGAAGTTTTATTTATCATGAATGTTAATTGTTATATTTAATTGTAGAACACAGTCAGAAACGTGCAGGGAAGGTATTAGTAGGGTTCAGGGTTTGGCACAACATCTAGTACACAGTAGGGTGCTTAATAAGGACTTGTCCTCTCTCTCAAATGCCAACTTTTGGTACAGTAGCTTGTTAGCCATCTTTAAAAAACTGTTCTACTACATTTTTGCCAATCTAGTATGTCATTCCATGTTTGCTTTTTCAATCATCTTTAAAGATCAGGTAGTGGGGGTCCCATCCCCCCTCCCCCCTCCCCCCCCAGACAACAGAATAGTATTCTTATTAGAAGTTCCTAAGATGGGGCAGTTCCAGCATGCAAATTGTGATGGGAGAGAGCGGGAAGAGGAAGCCATCATCTAGGGATAAAATATTCTAAAAGAAACAGATGAACAAACATGTGTCAGTTACTTTGTCCCCGACCCCAATATCCTTTGCCCCTCCCTCCCCAGCCACAGAAGCTATTTGCGAGGCCCTAGGCTAAGTTGATGGCTCTACATGTTCTCATGGAAACAGCTGCTTCCCCGCTGCATGCAGCATATGCAAGCAGAGCTGGCGTGTTGACCTGGCATCATGCATGTTTGTGTGATGGGTGTGGGGATGCAGGAAGCAAAAAAAAAAAAAAAAAAAGATTTGATAATTAATGGAAAAAACATGGATGCCATGAATTTCCCTACCCACTGGCTAATGCAAAGTGCCTTGGAGTAAAATAAATTTGATCATTTTTAAAAGGCCAGAGGCTTGCTGAGATGATTCTTAACGACCTGTCGCAAGGTGCCAAGAATGCACCGCATTCTTCATACGTGGAAGAGTGGTGCGACACTGCGTAATTTTAATAGAGGGAATTTTAATTTTTTCCACAGAGGTCTGAAATTTTAAAATCAGACCAACCACTGGGCAGAATTTAGTAGACAGTTTTAATAATAAGTAGCTGGTTCAAATAGAAAGCTGGGGGGAAACAGGAACCATTCGGAAAAACACCAATTCTCAAAATCCTAAACTGACTGTCTAAAACTGAAATCTATAACTTTCCCCCAGCTGGATCTAATTATACTTTAAGCATGGCCCAAAAAACTGTTTTGCACTTCGCTTGCTCTAAAATGTTAAGAAATTGTTTACATGTTATTTGCAAATGTATGACAATATGGCTGATGGCCCTGAAATGATTTTTATTTTCTTCCCTGTCTCTGGCCTCAGTTTCCCAGTATGATCTTCCTGTTTGTTTTGTTAAAAAATTTTTCTGTTTTTGAATGTGCCTACCCTTCGCTGTTGCTCCTTGCAGCCTGTGGGTCCTCTTCGCCGCCCCTTTTAAAGAGAGATTGAAAGCTCACCTAATCTGCAAGGCACCGCAATTTCACACACCCCACACAGCCTCTCTACATTCCTAGACAATCAGCCAAGAGCAAATGCAACAATTCACGTGCTATCCTCCCGTTGTTAATTGTTAGGTAGCCTTCCCTGGCTAAATTGGAATGTCTACGGAGACTGCAGGCCGTAGGGGGAAGAATTCCACACCTTTGCTGCAGCACTAACACAGCCCTCTGGAGACTCTGGTCCATACAGGAGGGACAGTTAATTATTTTCTTGTGCTTTAACTGAATGTACATGCATTAGGGAGCCAAAGCAGTGATTTATATCACAATTCTTTTGAGAATATGGCAGCACATAAGGCTCTAATTCTCCTAGGTCAGAATCTTCACAATGTTGCGTCTCAGCACACACAGGCATAAGTGACTTTGCCCATGATTTCTTGGTACAAAATTAAGGACCTCCCATCTTGCAGTAGGGGAAACTAATTAGAAAATGTTTTAATTTATAAATAATTGTCCACCATAAATTGTCACAAATTAAAACTATGTCTGGACTGTGATGCAGCAAAAAAAAAAAAAAAATTAAAGGAAAAAAATCCCCCCCATTGCCACCCGAACCCCCTTCCAACAAACAAAAAAATCCAAACCCAATATTCATAAATAGTGGGAACTCCTCCTTGAAGGCTGAAGGGCATAATAGCTTAACTCTTAATTTCATATTTGATTAGCTTAGCTCAATCAACGTGAATGACGTTTTTGTTTTTTACTCTGGCACTGTATGTGAGGAAAAAGAGCTTCAAGTTAGGAAAACCATATTCAACTTTTAAATTTCTGAAGGTCAAATCAATATTAACTTACTCTTAAAATGTAATCAGTATGGAAGCCTCAGACACCTTATAGCTCACCCTATCCCTAACAAATGTCAGGTTCAGGAGGACACCCGCCCCCCCACCCTGCAGACCACCCTTTAGGAACAGTTGTCACCATCTCATAGGGAATTCCTAGCTAGGAAGGAAGTGGCTTTCGTTGCAATACAGCAGTGAGGAAAAAGAAAAAAGGAGCCACAGTTAGATGAGATAAAAATAAGGTCCCTAGACGCCCATGAGGAATACCCCTTATATGTTCCTTCCATAGGCTAAATTTAACATACCTATAACTACGGCCAGGCCACCCCTACAAAGGTGGCACACTTAGGAATGTCACTTCCTCTTTCCAAAAAGAAAATAAAGACAAGTTCTAGTTTAAATGCCTCATCTGCACTATAGATGGGCTCACATAAGGAGAATCCTTTCTGTAAAGATTTAAAAATTTTAGGGTAATAAAATTTAAATTATTTTAAGGATGATTTATCTTCCATCCAAATCAAGCTATCGTAAACAGTGGCTGCTGCATCCTCTTAAAAATGCTAGCCGTGTCCAGTTTTAATCAAAATATTTACGGGGGGGTACATATTCAAATTATTTTTGGTCTAATTATTTTTGCCTAACTAGACTCACGAAGAAGCACTCTTTCCCACAAACTGCAAGAGGAAAATGTATGCAAGATTTTTCTTCAAATTACAAATGTCATATCCAGAAGTCTGATTCAGTTTTTTAAATTTATTGTCAAGATGACAATCTCCATTGGCTTTATGGGGGGGGCGGGTATGCCAGGAATTAATTTCAGCCTTGGTTTCTGCGACAGGTACAGGTGATTGACTTAACAGCACCTACGGGCACCCTGGTTTATTGAGAGTCAACATAAAATCGGTAAACCGTCCCGTCTTTCTGCATATTAACCACTCTTTCTGGATTCACAGTTAAACTATTTTTAAAAATCCTAAACTAAAATGACCATTTGTATGGGTGATGTCATCCATTTCTAACCCCCGATTGGTTTGGGCTTACAAATTCTAGAATTTTCCATAAAGAGCTGCCTTCCATGCCCCGAGAGGTAATAAAATTTACCCTTGTTTCCCCAGTGGTTAGTGCACAGTAAGCAACAGCAAGCGTCTTATTTATCTATAATTGAATTAAACCATGTGCCTTGACTCAATTTCCCCTTCCGAAACCGAAGGGGATGCAACTAAGGAATAAATTTTCAGCTGGATGCAGGTTTAAGAAAGGGAAAGAGACTGCTACCCAGCTAGTTAAGTGCAAACTAGTGCCTTCAGGTGCTCGTAATCTAGCAAGATTAACCACTTCCACACCTGTGAAAACAGAGGCTCATAAACTTAATTTTTTCTGTCTGTGTTTTTTTCCGTTACACGAGAATGTCAGTCAGGCCCCTTCTGGGGTCTGGGGAGAAAAGTGAATTCCCTGATGTATTTAATGTTCTGTTTGCATTCTTTATGGCAAGGAGGACCCATATCTCGTACTTCTGATCCAAACTGTCTCGCTTTCTTCAATCTTTGTTCTCACTGCAGTATTGCCACGTTGCCCTATACCTCAATGCCCGGAAGGACTTTTCAAAGGCAAAAAAAAAAAAAAAAAAAAAAATGCCCCTCAATGCAACTAGAAGTAACTCCCTGTCTTTCCTTTATTAAATTATTTCCTTTTCATTTCTTTAGGCATAAATATTGATTTTTTAAAAAGGAAAACAATAATTTGCCCATGGGGTGATTAAAAAAAAGGGAGTAAAAAAAAAAAAAGGAATTATAAGCAAGGGCTGCCACTTCCAACTTTGTTTAATGTGAGAATATTATCGAAACCATGTTTATTGGCTTATTACAGTGAAATCTGCTATTGGGGGAGGGGGGAACCTCTGCAGTGGTCATCATGGGCTAGGCAAGGGGGTGGCCACAGCAGTGACAGCCATTTTGGAGACTCACTGCACCAAAATGTGCGAGGCTGCGGCAGAGGACCTGGCCTCAGAGAGGCTGTCACAGGGCCAAGTGCTGTTAAGTGTCCTCTGCTCTCCTGGGATAGGGAGATGTTTTACTCCAACACCGGTGCTTTAATTAATATTCTTGCACCAAAGATTGAAAGGAGGGAGGGGGGAAGCCCTAATGACTCCATGGCAGGACCTTCTAATATGTAAATTAGGAAAAATTTAAGTGAAAATTGGCTGCCCATCCCTCAAACCTACCTATCCCTATCACCTATAGGGGCCACTCCCTAAAGGTTAGTAAGGACCGTGTGGCTGTCACCTGGTGCCCTTCACAGATTTGACACTTACTCTCCATTAAACCCATTAACATGCAGGATCCTCATTTGCTTCACAATGGTGCTTTTACCAGATTCTCCAGCACCTAGAAAATGAAAGTAAGTCTCAGGTTAAGAAAGAGGCATGTCACACACTTTGGGCAGGGAAAGGACCGCTGTTTTTTGTGTTTTCCATAGAAGCAACACACAATAAACAAACAAAACATAACAAGACTCGAAATTTTCCTTGACATTTCGACGCAGAGAAAATGAAACATTCAACTCAGGGTCTACCTGCAGCAGTTCATCATCAGATTAACAAGCAAGGGTTAAAGGTTTTGCTGTTTTTGGTTTAGTTTGTTTTTGTTTGTTTGTTTGTTATTTAAAAAACAGGGGGGTGGCAAAAGTAAGGGGTAGAGAAATGACGCAATTTTGTCATCTGAGGGGCAAACAAGAGAACTGAAGTTAAAAGTATAAAACCGAATTCTTGATACATGATCATTCACTGGTAACATGTACATACACATGTATGTGGCCACATAATTCATTATTAGGCAAATGTTTCAGGGTTAAAATACTCGGGGTTCAGAAACAATGCCCCGAAACTGCAGCCTCGTCCTCGCATGCAGGGATGCAGCTCTCCCCCCTTCTGAACATTTTCAAAATGCAGATTCTTTCTGTGCAGGTTTCCCAGGCCTTGGGCTAATTAAAAATCCACCCCTGAAACCACAATATTAACATTTTATCCACTTATCCACCCTCCTTTCCTCGCAAACTGTATCTTTCTAAAGTTAAATTCCCTCTGGATACAACACGTTGCAGGGGAAAATGGAAGACCAGCAGCTAACTGTCATCTTCTCAAAAAAACCACATTTTAATGTCAAATATAGTGCTTGAGACCATATTTGCATTAATATTAGGAACTTGCAACAACAATCAGGAGTTATTACAAAGGACAAAATATTCCTGGGACCCACTGAATTTAAGAGGGTCCAAGCCCTTCCCAACTAGAAAGAATAGGAAGAAACACATGCCTCCATTTTAAATCACTTTTCATATGTTAAAAATTATATGCATATATTTGTGGGGGGGAAAACATTCCCACCAAGCTTGAGGGAGGACTGCTGCTACTCCCCCCCCCCCCCGTTTTTGCGCAACTCTCTCAATACTGTGTGAACAGTTTTTTGCCCTCCTCCTACACAAATCTGGTTTTTACCCCACTTTTTCTTTTTACTTTTAACTATATTAATTGTTTTGTTTTGATGACCAGATAGCAAGCATTCCTCCCTCGCTTGCCTTTTCTCAAGGTTGTAATCAATATCTGCAAAAGTTAAAATTAGTTCCCACAGAAACATTGATTTCAAAGCAAACATTCTACCTTAATGAGCCTAAATTAAAATATAAAAGGCACTATTAAGAGATTCCATGAAGAGAATACGTAATATTAATCAGGATCCCCAATATTCTAATTTCAGAAGTGGTAAAAATGCGCAACACTTGTCTTTTATAGGCACAAACAGATCTGTGCCTCAGTTTCCACATTTGTAAAATGTGGCTAATTCACTTAATTTTTATGCCATTATATTAAGATGGAGTAAAAAGAGGACTTAGGGCATTACTTATTATGTTTCCTCTTTTGGGGGGGCATTATTTGGTGAGAATTACCATTTTAAAATGAAAAATGTTATGTCACTGGCTTGGGATGCAGATTTCTAAGCCAGAGGCTATCAATAAATCATGATAAAAATGTAACTATTTAGACCAGAACATCTAGAAAGATTAGCCCACTGTGATGCAAGGTGTGTTCAGAGTAACAGTCTCTAAGTGGAGACTTTATAATTACTGCGCAAAAGGTGTTAGAAATTTAAGATACCATTAGCATCATGCTTGCCTTAAATTAGTATGCAAATAGTAAGATAGCATTCACAGGAAAGATTCTAGACTTTTCCAGATTTGTACTTTGAAATCAAGTTTCACGCTTATTAATATTCGCACAGCATAATTACGCCTTTAAAAGTTTTAGACAAGACCTCAATATATGTACCATTTAATAACTGAAATTGCAAATGCATAAACACCAAGAGACTTATTTTCACTTATTTTCTGCTTTTTTAAGTCTAGACCCAGGAGAACAAAGACATGACCCATCCAAAAAGAGCACACCAAACACTACCAAAGAAAAAAACAGCTTTTTACATTTTATTCCTTATAATCAAGCTGTTTTATTGAAATGTGACCACGAACTAGGTCCTAACTTCGCAAATTCACAAATTTATTCAGATAGCCAAATTACCAAGGAAATGGAAAACTTCCATTCTAATTAATGCTTATGTGTGTGTAGTTTTTTTGCTCATTTCAACAATTTATTTATGCTGTTTTTGTTTTTTCCCAAAGCAGCGCCTTAAAGAAAAAGGAAGAAAGCCTGTCTCCTCTTAGTTAACATTCTTTTTTCTTTTATTTTTTTGGTGAAAAGAGGAAAAATTGCAATTAAGAAAGAGAAGAAAAACCAAACAACCAAATGTCACTTGACAAACAACTAATTAATGTCTTTTCATCTCCTCCCACCTGGAAGAAAAGTCCTCTCCTTAGAGGGCTCTCAATCCCCCCTCCCACCTTGAAAAGGACAAAAAAAAAAAAAACACGCCATTTCCAGACCAAGAAGCCATTTACAGACAAATGTCATTTTCCAGTTTTATCTGATTTGTGAATGTCTTTGTTTTTTTGTTTTTCACAAAACACTCTCAATGTGGCCAACCAAGAGAAAAATGTATTTTTTAATGGTTTATTAAAATGAGGTGGGGGCTGCTGCTAGAGGGGGCAGCTGCTACAATTAATTCTTTTCACTGCTTTTCAAAGGTCATACTGTAAAATGACGTGTCATTTGGCTTCACTGGGCACTTTTCGCACTAACTCTATGCATTTTGGCGCGGGGAGTGGGGGGGGGGGGTCTTTATTTTATTTGATTCTCCTTCTCTTTCTTCCACTGCCCGGCCTGGCCCGGGACACGTCTGCTCCGCGCACACAGTCTGTCCTGCCCGAAACGCACCAAGTCGCGCCCAGCAGCAGCCGCCCTCCCTCCCTACCCCCCCATTCTGGCGCCACGACTCGCTCGGGCCCCCTCCCCCCCACTGCACCACCTTTACTGCTCCGATCCTTTCCGAGGGGCTGATGTCACCCTCACCCCCCCCCCAACTCTCCTCTGCCACTTCCTCGCCAAAGCCTTCCTTTGGCGAGGCCCCTTGGCCACTACGGCGCCCCCCAGCGTCACCCCCTCCTCTTCTCGCCCCTCTTTCTTCCCGGTTTCCCTCTTCCAACAAATCACACACCCCAAGGAGGCGGGTCCCCCTCCCTCTGCTCGCCACCCCATTTCCTGTCCCCGAAACCCTCTTTTTTGTCGCAGTCTCCGGAGCCCCGTGGGCCTCCCCTCCCCCTCCCAACACGCACACAAACCCCTGGCGTCGTGTAGGCCTCGAGGAAAGAGAGAGAGAGAAAAGAGCGAGGGAGAAAGCGAGAAAAAGAGAAAAAGACACACAAGAATGGGTGGGCCGGGGAGGGGGACCCGCGCCCGCGTTGCCACAGCCCCTGCCCCATTTTGAGCCCCCGCCCGGCCAAATTTGAGCCCTGGGGTCCCCCTTCCGGCCTCGCCCCCCACAGACAGAGCCCCGCGAGCAGGCTGCGGGCTCGGGAGCGCGCGCCCAAGGCGGGGGGCGGGCCCGCCGCGCGCGGCCTGCGGGGCGCCCCTCTGGGGCTCCCCGGCCGGGCCGGGCCGGGGCCGGCGCCCCCCGCCCCGCCCTTACCCAGCAGCAGCAGGCGGTGCGTGGCCCGGTAAACCTGCTTGTCCTTCTGCAGCTGTTTCTCGATCTTTTTGTTGGCCTCACGCTGCGCCTTCTCCTCGTTGCGCTGGTCTTCGGTCTTACTGTTTCCGAGGC